GGCTTCCCTGACCACGCTGGTGAAGTAAGTGCCCTCTCCCGGTGCTTTCCAAGATCTGCAGCAAATAACTGGTTTGTAAACTCCCAAACCATCGTGGACTAATGTTTTGTGACTTATAACAAAGATGTCACAGGAATGTCAAATTGCTGTAAAGGTTTTCCACACTGGGTTTCTGTGTTTGTCTTGTCGTGGGCTGGCAGCATATAGTTTGGAGACCAGCACCAATCTGTAGATGACACTTTGAGCAGCAGCATTGCTCCACTGCACAGCTGGGTATGTCTTTAGAACCAGCCACTCTCTGCAACACTCAGGCTTGTTTTTTGTCCCCCCTAGTAGAATGTGAGCTCCATGGTGGCAGGGATTTTGCCCTGGACTCATCACTCTTCCGTCCACAATACCGGGATCTGTACTAACACACACTAGGCTCTTGTTAAACCCATGTGGATGCCCCAGCTCCCTGATGTTCCTGCCCAGCCCAAGCAGGAGAAAATCACAGAAAGCCTAGATTTCCCCTCCCTTCTCCACCAGGCGATCTGCTTTGTCTCCACATCCATTGCCAGTCATTGTTCAATGACTGGAGTAAAGGAATTCCAGTGTCAGTGAGGTTGCTAACCCACTGCATGACCTTGACCAGCTAACTTTAATACCACATATCCCCCAGCTCCATATCTATAAAGTAAGTGACTTAGTCCATTTTCTGTTGCTATAACAGAATACCTGAGGCAGGTTATTTACAAAGAAAAGAGGTTTATTTAGCTCATGTTCTAGAGGCTGGGAAGTTTAAGATCCAGGAGCTGCATCTGGTGAGGGCGTTTGGCAGTGCCATTCCACTATGGAAGGTGAGAGAGCGTGTGAAAGAGACAAAACATGAGGGGTGACTTTCTTAGTAACCACCTGCTTTCTCACAGTAACTAATCCAGTCCTGTGAGAGTGGAATTCACTGACTCCTGCGAAAATTAACCCAGACCCAAGAGAGGAGCATCCCTCATCCTGAGGGAAGAGCCCTCATGACCCAGCACCTCTTAAAGGTCCCATGACCTCTCAACGCCATTACATTGGGAATCAAACTTTGACATGAGTTTTGAAGGGGACAGGCCATATTCAAACCATAGCAGTAGCCATGGTGCTTTCTTCCACATTAAATGAGTTAATGCTCTTGGACACACTTTGTGATCTCCAGAATGTTCCCCCCAAGTGACTTCTCAGGTATGTGTCAATTTTCTAACTAAAAACAAGCTAATTTCTTCCTTGACACTCTCTCATGAGGTAGAATGGGGTCAGCAAACATTGTCTGTAAGACCACATAGTAAACATTTTAGGTGTTGCAAGCCCCATAGGTCTCTGTTGGTTTTTCTCCTCCAACTCTTTAAAAATATAAAAATTATTCTTAGCTTGAGGGCCTTAGGAGAGCAGGCCAGGGTGAGTTTTCCAATTCCTAGAGATAGACAGTTGGAATTGTTTTCTTGTGGAACTCAGTACATTTTATTTTCTGTTTGAATGAAATAAGAAATGTCACCCATAATTGTTTTATTTTTCTTTAATTGGTCCTCTTGCAAAAGTGTTGTCAGTCATTATAGTCATATTTTATACTCTTTCTCTCGTTTTGTAAACATTAATGAGCATTATAAACATTAATGAGTGTTGGAACAGCTTCTCTCAGTGCAAAATCATGGTTCTCCAGAGCAGGGTTGGTGATTTGTATAGGGGAACCCAAAGCATATTTGACCATTTAAAGACCATTTTTAGCTTGGATGGATGCTTAGAGCTTGATGATGCTTCTCAAAGTGGATTCTGATAATTCATTTTTATCTGCCATTCAAAATATGTGATCTTCTTAATTTCCTGAAGTTTTTTCCTAATGATTTACTTCTTTGTAGACCTCTGATGAAATCATCTATTGAATAGTTATTCTTGTTTTATTTCTTACTGATAGCCAGATGTGAGTTATTATGAGGCCAAGTTTTTATAGTATTATAAACTTTCTAACTGCTTGGTTGTAAATAGGGTGTGCTTGGGTACAACTAACTGGTCTTTTGTGAAAACAGCCCTTCTCCCTGCCTTTGCTACCAGGGTCTCCTGACTTCCTGCAGGCCATCTTTTGCCTCTTTTTAAGCCATTGTTGTTGATTTTCTTCTTTAATGCCATGTGTTTCCAATTTTTCTTCTTTAATTCCATGTGTTTCCAATTTTAAAAAATAGATTCTTTAGTTGCAAATTTTAGCAAAGTTTTCTAAAATTGACATGGTGGTAGGTCTTAGTAAGTCAAAAACAAAACTGACAAAATAGCACCTAAGTATGTCTGTCTCTTCAACTCTGACATATTTTGGGATCACCAACTGCTGAATAAGAAGCCTGGAACCTTGGCACTGTGTAAATGTAGATTATTGGCAATGTGTGACCTGAGCTGTAGTACATTGTGTTTAAGAGCATAGATTCAGGAGCCAGCTCTGCCACTTCCTAGCCATATAATTCTGGGCAGCTTTTTAACCACTCTGAGCCTCAGTTTCCCTACCTATAAAGTTAGCCTAATGAAAGAAGATTCTTCATAGGTTTATTGTGAGTTTTAAATGAGTTAATACTTGTCATGCAAGCATTAGTTGAGTTAATGTCATGTAAACATTAGCTGTTATTATTTATTAAGGGAAAAAATTTGCTTTTGCTGATACATATTAATGGATAATATTCCACATGGGAAATCTTGTATTTGATTTGCTTTTTCCATTTTAATTTTCTGTACAGGCTTTCGTGGAGGCCCAGAACAAGATTACTGTGCCGTTTCTTGAGCAGTGTCCTATCAGAGGTTTATACAAAGAGAGAATGACTGAACTGTATGACTATCCCAAGTATAGTTGCCACTTCAAGAAAGGAAAACGGTACGTGAGGTTTCATTCATTTTCTTTTTTTTTTTTCCTTTTTGTCTTTTTTACTGACCCGTAACGGGATCGCAACCCTCGGTGTCGCGCCCGTACCAGGGACCGGCAACGGGATCGCAACCCTCGGTGTTGCGCCCACACCACGCTCAGCCAGTGAGCGGGAACCGGTCTCCACATGGGATCCGAACCCTCGGCGGGAGCGCCATTGTGCTCCCAAG